TTTTTGTATGAGCACAGTAACCGCAGGTACTTATTACCTGTGAGTAGTAATTTTTTTTTTTTTATGTGTTTTATTTAGATCAGGATAGATCTTCTTGTATATTTTTAAAAAGATAATGTTGATAATTATTAATAATTTTTTATACATATTTAGTTATTAATTTGAATTCAGTTATTACTTTAATTATAATATTTAATTATTTAATATTTTGAAATAAAGTTAAATAATGAAGTGTAAAAATATTTTATTTTTTTCCATAAAAAAATATATGAAATATTATATGCAAGAAGATAATTCGCGACAGATAGATTTTTGAATCAAAGCAAAAAGTTTTGAACATTGTTTTTGCATTTTTAAAAATGTGCTTTGATAAAGAGATCGTCTGAGATTATTTTCAGTAATACTCCATTTAAAGGCAATTATTTCTTATTATTAATTATCATATATAAATTTAATTATTAATTGTTATAAATAAATTTCTTATTTATTGTCTATATATTTTTTCTTTTGAAATTAATAGAAGTTCATTGAATTTATAAAATAAATTATTAAAGTTTAAAATAAAATAAACAGATTTTGAATTAATCCGTTAGAAAAAAAAATACTCTAATCATCTTTTTTAGCTCAGGATTTTCAGATTTAACCCTTTCCGTGTCCATTACCAGGATCTCATTCACATGCCCAGGTGTTATTTGGATGAGAGAGAGGCAATGGGCATGATGACCATAGTTCATAAGTTTATAATAATTTTTCAGCGACTGACGATGCGTTAGTGTATCGTGCACGGCGTATTTTCCACATTGTGTGTGAGGTTAGGCTGTGGAATTGCGCCGCCTAATTTTTATTATTATTATAGTATAATTTGAAATATTTAAAATATTCGATTAATCTCATTAAAATTTTCAATAACAATTTAATGATATCAAATTTTGTATCACTTTAGTAATTTAAAAAGCATAAACTTTCATTAATAAATATTCAAATTAATTAAAATTAAGACGTGTTTTTATTGTGTTTCACGCAATGGTCGCTAGCCATCGTCAGTTGATTTCAGGAAAAACGGTACGTAAAGTTAGAGTGTGCAAGTAGTGTGTCAAGCTCGGGTGTCGGAGGCGTCCCGGGACGCTTTCCCTAGTGTAGGCTTTTGCGCCCGAGTG